GATGTAGCCAGTCGGGCGGATTTACCTATTCATCATGTCGGATATCAGGTTATGGAAAGTATCCACAATAATGACACCATTATACTTGTTGGAGAGACTGGTTGCGGGAAAAGTACACAGGTCCCTCAGGTCGGTTTAAACTCTTAGGTTTTTCCAGAAATTTTTCCTTTAAAGGAATCGCTGATATTTTTCTGATTAACCGCTTTTTTAGCAGTGAAACGTCGTTACAAATATACATCCAAGAATAATGAGTGACTTGCAAAACTCTGGACCTGAAATGACGGGAGTTGAACCCGCGTTCCATACTTTTCTGGAGGAGCGTGCTAACCACTAGACTACCCCTGGACTCCTGTGCTGCTGTCACACTTTCTCTATCCCTCCCTCGTCCCCGGAAAGGTTGAGACGTTGGTTCAACTCGCGCCCCTCAGGTTCAAAGTTTGCTTATCACCCAGCATCAAAAGGACAAAGGATAAATCTCCCGCCGACAAGTAATCCCTGAGGGATGCGCGATGCCTTCGGCTTCATCTGCATCGTTCAAAATGATGGAATGCCTCTCTGGTTCTTACAGTGTGACTCGCGGTGACCTACCAATGTATCAAGTCAATGCTGCCATCCTCCCAGATAAGTCTGATACCAATGCTCCGATTCGGGAGGGATGGAAGGCTTGCTGTGGCCATGGGCGTGAGATTGAACCTTTGATCACGAGTTGTCGCAAGACTTCTCTGGCCACTGTGCCACATGTGCCTCATGGCTTAATAATTTCAATGTACCTCTCCATTTGACCGCGTTTTTATAGACCCCACTCAAAGCGGCAACACTTTGATACGATAAAACAATATTGAGCCGTTTGAGTCTAAGTGCTAGACAGGCGCTTGTTTCGTCCTACCTGGGTCCTCAGTAACACAGTTCCTCGGTTGAGCCAACCCCTTAAGGCTATACTCCTCTATACTCCCCCTCCTCCCATTATAGAAATCAAGATTAACCATGGAGGAGTATAGCATTAGGGGATCGGCTGAACCAAGGGACTGTCCTACTGAGGTGTACAGGTAGGACGAAACAGGCTCCTGTCTAGAACTTAGACCTTAACGGCTCAAAAATGTCTTATCTCTATCAGAATTTCAGTGTATTTAGAAGTATCCGATTAGCCCAGAACCGACTATCTAATAACCTCGACATTGAAGGAATACTTCAATGGTTTGCTTTATGAGATTAGCGAGGATGTCAGTAGTAGACTTACTGAGTACTACCCAGCAAAATGAAGTAATGGCTGACGTTTCAGCATAGGTTTCTTAAAAGCCCGGAAAGGTCGAATCAGCTTGCAATATGCTTGGTCTGGTAGTTTCAGAGCCACATTTCTGATGTGGTTACGACCCTTCAAAAGTAATTTGCTAAGTAGATTGCGAGTCAGTTTGACCTTTTAAGGCTGCGAAGAAGGCGGTACCACTGAAACGTCAACCGTTATTTCATTGTACTGTGTGTTATCCAATAAGTTTACTATTGACAACATCGCTTATCTGCTTATCAAGCAGATCATTGAATAATCATATCAGTGTGAGTTTATTAGGTATTTGGTCTCAGAGAAATCTATCACTTCTTGTTAGCCATGACGTGAATGTGGCGCAATGGTCAGGGAAGCCTTGCGACATACACGTGAGCGATGGTTCGATTCCATACCCACGGTTCCCCAAATTTTCACTCCCTCCGGGTCGGCGAATTGGTAACACACATGTCTGGGATGGGAGTAGCACTGATTTGATAGATCGCTAAGTCACCATGAGTCCTTGCAAAGGCCAGTCATGCGTCCAATCACCTCTCACATGCTTATGAGTTCGAATGGTACTCAGCAAGCTCTGCTAATGACAATCTCCCATCTACTCATCGAGAGAGGCACTGAAAAAAAACTCGATTTATAACTGAAACCAGCAGAGAACGTTATTTTTCTGGTCCTTTTTTGTCTTCATCACATAATATCAACTGAGTTAAGTCTTGTATTTTCTGATTTTAGTACTGCGTTCGCATGGGACTCGCTAAGAACGGACGTGTTGGTGTCACTCAGCCACGTCGTTTAGCAGCCATCTCCTTGGCAAATCGAGTAGCCACGGAGATGAATACTTCGGTGGGAGAAGAAGTAAGTAGCTGATAGTAATAGTTGTTTGGCTCATTTTGTCCTTATACGAGGTTTGTCCCGTCGTAAAGCAAACCAAATACGCTCCCTCAGAGCGCATGCAGCGCAGTGATTAGAGGTGCTTTACGTTGCAAATAAGGTCGATGATTCGATTTCGAGCTCATGGCTCACCAAGCTGAACATCCCTCTGGCATCGGTAATTTGGTGCTAGACAAGTCTCAGACTTCTCTGGGCGGATAAGCAGCACTGACTCGATAGGCCACCGCGAGTGATTATGAAGACCAAATATGCATTCAGTCATCTCAGAGCGAAGTTAAAGTCTGAGGACGAATGCATGACGCAATCCCTCAGAGGTAGATGATCAACGCCGTAAGCTTCGTCCTTTTCTTATCTTTTATACATCCTTCTCTCCCCTCCCTCCCCTCTTTCCTTTCTACTCCCTTCCATTTCTCACTTCTCCTCCCTCCCCAATTTGCTAAAGTTTTTAGATTATAAGATGATACCACCTCAAGGGGCGGTCAAATAAATGAATTTCGATTGATTATTGATACCCAGTATCTGTCAACATAAGCGGGTTCCATGCCTATAGTGGCTATCCCAACAGACCGCCAACGGTTGGTTGTTGACAGATAACGCGTTATAGCTTAGAAAGAGTGCTGTGCAAAAGGAGCGTCGGTGATGCAACGGTTAGCATACGCTCCCCGAAAGAGTGAGATCTGGGTTCGAATCCCGCTGACGCAGATGTTTTTGCTCAGCACTCCACATCATTGGGTATGTTATAAGTTTTTAGAGTTCTGTCATTGAGATTTTGGTAAATAATGTTAAGAATATTAGCTGGACTTCTTAGAAGATTTGTTTTTGTATAACTGAATAACCAAATTCTTGCGAGTTGGGATTTTTGATAGTGGGTGAATCTGGAGGCCTTTTTCAGTTCTTTTGTTGTTATTTAACTCGTTACACCTTACCTGTTTGCATGGTTACTGTCGTTAATGTCTTGCGATATTTTTGAGCCACGCATATCAGTGATCTGTCAAGCAGAGCTGACTTATAGAGCCCGATACACGTGTTTCGATCTTGCGACTCGTCAGTCGGGCAGTCACCCTTTCTCGTCTTTTTGCCAATCCTGTGTGGGTGCTCCAGTCCCCACACTAAGAGTTAGCGACGACGATCCTTTTACACTCTATGTCCAGTGATTGCAAGGCATATTGAATTTTGGGCTGTGCTCTTAAGAAAACACTCGAAACGAAGGTTATGTGGTAAATCTATAGCTATAGATCGAATGATCCGATTGTTTTTCTATTAACTTCACATTTTGCTAGATAAATGATCTTTTAGGTCGGATATCATGTTCGATTTGAGAAGAAAATCTCGGCGACGACGCAAATCGCCTATCTTACCGATGGTATTTTACTTAGAGAAGCTATTCATGATCCTCTCTTGAGGGAATACAGCACTGTTATTGTTGATGAGGCGCATGAACGTAGTCTTCACACCGATATCTTGTTAAGTGAGTGAAGTTTCACTTAATCTCTCTGATCTTTAAACTTTAGTTCTTCTTTTCGATATCAGGTAGTTCCATATTTTGGCATTGTAGAAATGAATACTAAATTTATCAAACAGAAATGACTGAAATTGCGTCATTTTGGTACTGTTCAGTTGAAATCACAGTATTTTCACTGCTTTTTTTCGCAGTGTTATTATGTTCTTATATTACTTAGAGAATTGAGTGGTGAACAAAAACACGGCCTCAGGCGGGAATCGAACCCACGTTTCATCCTATCCGGGGACGCGTGCTCTACCACTACACCACTGAGGCACATTTGCCCGACCACTCATTCTTCTACATCTCAATGTTAGCTATCAGCCACCAACCTTTGACAGGTTTGGTCGGGTACGCTATTTCGCTTTATAAACCCAGTTGAGCTGATAGCTATTCTAATTACTAATACTTCGAAATTACAGTATTTTCACTGCTTTTTTCGCAGTGTTATTATGTTCTTATATTACTTAGAGAATTGAGTGGTGAACAAAAACACACTTGTTTTTTTTTTTGTTATTTTTGTTTTTTTGTTTTGTTTTTTTTTTGTTTTTGTTCACTGTTCAGTTGCGCATTTTCTTGCGAACATTTTGATATATAGCTTACCTATACTTGTTTCTAAAAATAGAGCTGTCTACAGATCAAATTGGCTTGCTACCCATGCAAGAATGGCGCATAGAGGAAAATGCTGGTGAGGCGGCGCGCAAAATCAATCTAGCTTGGGCGACGATACGGTTGCAGAAAGGACGGCTAGTCCTTCGCATAGTTCGGAGCTGAAGAGAAGAATTTGGAGGATCAGTCGTGTTCGAGCCATCCAGAAGGAGCTCCATTTATCTTGTGCGCCACTTCACTAACATTTTCCCTGAGGCATCATTCATGCATGAGTAGCAAGCCAATTTGATCTACAGACAGCTCTATTTTTGAAACGGGTGTAGGAAGTTATATATCAAAATGTTTGCAAAAAATGCGCAATTGACGACACCGAAATCATGCAGTCTTAATCACTTCTGGTTGATAAATTCGGTGTATATTTCCTATAGTGCCAAAACTTATGGAGCGATAAAATTGAGTGAAAAAAGCCTCTATTTAGTCGTTTTTATAGCAGTGACATTATGCTATAGCAGTGGAATTCAGTAATATTGAGTGAGATGCAAAAGTCTGAACCTTGTGTGGGAGTTAAACCCGTGTCATACCCTTTCCGTGGGGCGCTGCTAGCCATTGCGTTACTGAGGCTCCTGTTCGCTACTATCAGTCTTTCGACGATTCAAGGTATGGTTGGTTGCTAACGGAATTGATATCTTGTATCACAGAAAAGATAACAAGCAGAACAAGAGCAACGCTAGTGCAGTGGTCAGCACACGTCCTCGGAAGGGGTGGGTCGCTGGTTCAACTCCCGCCAGAGGTCCAAAGTCTTGCATATCATTCATTTCTCATCTCGTTTTGAAGTACGAGATCTCTGAGTTTTCGATTTTAACTCTTGTTATGAGTACTTCATGAGGAAGACTTATGTTTCCGATGTGCTGCGGTTATGCCAACGTCAACGAAAGGAGTCAAATCTTCGATAAACTTCGTATTATAATAATGTCTGCTACGCTGGAAGCCAAGCTATTCTCGTCATATTTTGATAATGCTCCAGTATTCATTGTAAAAGGTCCGAACGTTTCCCTGTTGAGGTATGAGGTTGATAGAAGCAAATTTCGTGAGTCTATAAGGTCGAATAATTTCCGTGGCGTCTCCTCATTCTATGCAGATTTTCCATGCTCAACTCAATCCAGAAAACTCTGACTATGTCTTCAATGCGCTCGTATGCATCAAGGACCTCCACCAAGAGGAGCCACTTAGGTAAGGTGGTCCAAATTCTCTCATTCAACGGAAAATGCGGTCCTACTTATACTTACCATGGTCGATTTTCATCGAATCTGCGAAGGCTGTTTCGAAGTTATGTACCCGGATTGAGCATACGAAGTTCCATGGAAAGCTGGGTTCTTTCTGACTACAAGGGAATAAATAAAAACCGATCTCATTTGCTGGACAGGAACTTTTCAAAGGGATTTTAGTAACTGTTCGAAAGCTGAGACTTCAGGCTACAGCCCGACGTCGCCGGTTTTTCGAAAAATCCCCTTTTTGACGTTGTTACAGGAGAAGATTTCTTGGCTTCAGACACGCATATTTCTTGCCGGACAGAGCTCTTTTTTGGACTATTAGCCATCATTCGATAGCGCAATAGTTTCTGATTCCAGCGCTGTGCTTGCTTTCTGCAAGGACAGTTTCTCTGCAGTGCCAGAGGGAAAATAAGATTGATTCGCATACGCGAAAAGGCGTTTTTTGGCCATTCCATCCGGTGGTGTGGAGCGGGAAGAGGGCCGATGTGGGCGCAGCGTTGGAATCAGCAAACACTGCGCTATGGAATGACTAGTAATAGTCCAAAAGAGAGCTCTTTTCGGCGAGGTGTCAAGCACAAATCGTTTTTTCTCCCCGAGCCCTTATAAAAGCAGTTTTTCCAAAAGCAAACATATTTTTGAGGTCTTCGAAACTTGTGCTATCGAATGAGTGTTGGCACGCTATAGAAGGAATTTTGTCCAGCGGAATACAACGATATAAGAAGAAAAAAACACGTGATTTTGTATAACATATTTTTTTGATTTTACAGTGTTATAGAAGGGTGTTTTGAAAAACCGGTCATGTGGGGCTCTAGCCGGCAATCTAAGCTTTTGAATGATTACTAACACTCCTATGAACATTTCCTGTTCCAGTGAATGAGATCTGTTCTTCATTTGTTCCCCTTACAATCAGAAAGAACTGAAAAGTGTTATTATTAGTTTTATTTCGCTGCTTTTATGGCGATGTCATGGTGTTATAACTATATTTCCAAAGATGTAGAGAAGGTCTGCAAAATATTTGACTCTTGACGGGAGTCGAACCTGGATTTTAGCCATACAGCGGGCGCGTGCTACCACCACATCGCCGAGACCACGCCTCTGCTACCACTCTTTCTTCAGTGTATAACCTATAACGTCTGATAAGCCCATATTGGCCTTTAACGCAATCAAGCTGACAGTTTGGGTGCTTTGTATTGCTGAAGAAGTGGTAGCAAGGCGATGACCTCTACGGTATTGTGTCAGCACACACCTAGGGTATGGGTGAATCGCGGGTTCAACTCTCACCTAAGATCGAGAGTTTCAATGTCACTCAGTGTCCTTAAATTTACGAGATCTCTGCTACAGTTTAATAATTATAGCGATCATTTCCTGGTATTTCTTACTGGAAGAGAAGAAATTGAATGCGCCACCAAGAAACTTCGTGAGTTGAACCAACACTTTGAGAATCCGATCTACCCTGTTCCCTTATTCGCTGCACTGAGTCAGTGTGGCGCAGTTGAAAGCCTTCGAGCCACCACCAGCGGTCGGTTGTACTATTTTTTAACGTTTTTTTTTCGTAGGAGAGCTGCGTTGTGCTTAAATGGGTCATTATTATTAGGAACAACGCTTATTTATATCTTTTACATGATCAGCTTGCTTGAGGTTGTGTATGGAGGCCTCCAATCGGCTCACGTCCCGACGTTTCCGTTTCTTTCAAAGCCAGTCATTTGAGGTGGATCTGCCACAGCCGTTCGTCCTCGTTGTGGAGATCTTCGTTGTCGTTCTAGTTGAATCCGTTATAGAAGGACAGATCTCAGTGCGGCTTTTTCCATTCCAGTGGTGAACCACCGACGAAGATTCAACTAGAACGATAACGAAGACGAAGAAGCTGTAGCGAAGACGAGCGATTGTGAGCAATCAGTATGAGTTGACGACTCTGATGGAAACGATGGCGTCGAAGCTTAGCCGAACTATGGTTCTAATACCCAAGCTTGTGTAAGCTGAATCATGGAAAAATTTATCGAATATTCTTACCGAGGTGTAATGAGACTTAGTTTTCAAGACTTATTCATATTGTTTTGTGAGCGTTTTGATTTTTACTTATAAAGAAAATATATAAAAGTGATCTGCACTAGGTATCCTGGACATTTTTGGACAGTCTCTCATCTAAATAGGCTCTTTGTAGGGTCATCGAAAGGTCGTGTTAGCTACGAATATAGCGGAAACCTCACTCACTATCCCAGGAATACGTGTAGTGATTGATTGTGGCAAAGTGAAGACAAGGTGAAGTTTGAGAAATTTTTTCTATATTTCAGGCAAATAGATCCGAATTCATGATTTTTCACAACTATTTCCTTTTTTTTCCGCAAGGACTCGAACCCACATCTCACTCTATCTGGGAGCATGTGCTCTGACCCGTTGCACTACTGACGTTCGTTTTGCTCACCACTCTTTTTTGCGCTACAACGCATCTATTTGTCAGCAACCACTGTCAACGGTTTGACCCAGGTAGTCGGTATCGACATTGAACCCAGTCACGCTGACAAATATGTATAGAATGATTAAATAGAACTCTTTTATGTAACCGCTTTTAGCAGTGGTATGATGTTATAATATTACCCGGTGATATCTAATGACAGATGGATGCGTTGTAGTGGAAAAGAGTGGCGAGCAAAACGAGCGTCAGTAGTGCAACGGGTTAGAGCGAGCGCTTCCTGATAGAGTGATATGTGGTTTCGAATCCCGCCTGACGCGAAAGTTTTACGCATCATTCTACACCATTGGATATATCTGTAATCATATCATATCACCGCTAAAAGCGGTAAAGTGAAAAGAACTTTCTTTCTTCTTCTAAGGCTGAAAGGACAGTTATATGGTTGTTTCTCCAATCATATTGGTCTTACTGAATACGAATGTCTCCGTGGTTGAGAAGAGGAAGAGGCGGAGGAGGGAGGAGGCCATCTTACATCCTAAACAGTTTCTTATTTTTACCGCTGATCAGTTTCGATCGTGTATCCAGGGTTGCTGAATGATATGCAAAACTTACGACCCAAGGCGTTAGTTGAACCCGCGTTTCATTCATGCCGCGGATGTATGCTACCATTAATTACGGATAACACTGCTCTACTGCCACTTTTTTCATAATATGGTAACGGCTGATAGTTCATAGCTTCGATGCCTTATCGAGGAAAGAGTGGTAGAGAACAGTGGCCTCGGTAGTGCAGTGGTAGCGCGCCGACGAGTAGGTCAAGCGCAGGTTTGCTCCTGCTTGGGGTCCAAAGTTTTGCATAACGCTCAGCATACTTGTATACAATTAGAGCGATATAGCTTTTGCTAAGAAAACAGTAAAGTAGCAGATTCTTGTAGTCTCAATCATAAAGTTCTGAAGCTAAAGCCGTTGATCAATCCCTGGGGGATGCGCCATGCATTCGTCTTCTTCTTGCATTGTTTGGGGTGACTGAGTGAATATCTGGCTTTGTATAGCTCTCGGTGAGCTACTGAGGTATCAGGTCACTGCTGGTATCCTTGCGGACAATTCTGGTACCAATTCACCGACCTGTAGGCACCTTGAGCACAGATCAAACCAGCCACAGTGTCCCAAAGCACTTTAACCACTGCGCCACACGCGCTCAGTTGCAACCATATAATCCTCTTGAGAAGAGTCTTATGCTGAGTATAAATCTTGACTATTTCGCTATTTACGAGGCTTCAGGTATTTTACTGCTAGCGATCGTACAGATGTATTACGAGTTCATGACGTGAGCAAGGCGCAAGCGATACAGAGGGCTGGCCGGGCAGGACGTGAAGCTCCCGGGAAATGCTATCGGTATTGATTGCGGCTTTTTTACCGATACTTTTTGGATATGAGGGAACAGGTGGTCGGTTTCGTTCGCTATACAAGAGTTTTTCATAGGAGTGTTAGTATTCTTTGAAAGCTTGAATCACTGGCTAGAGCCGTACGTGGCCGGTTTTTCAAAGCACGCTTTTATAACGCTGTAAAATTCGAAATAAAATTGTTTTACACGACCACGTGTTTTTTCTTTTCTTTTCTCGCTCAATTTCGCTGGGCAATATTCCTTCCTTAAACTGCTAGTACTCTTTCGATAGCGTAAGCCTCGAGGAGCTCAAAAATGTTTTGATTTTTGAAAAACTCTTTTGATAGCGAAAAAAGATTTGTGTTTGACATCTCGCCAGACAGAGCTCTTTCTTGAGACTGCTGGTGATCATTCGACAGCCTAAGTTCCAATGATTCTAACGCTGTGCTCATTTTGTGAAGAGATCGTGTCACTGCAGTTTAGAAAGGAAAATAAGATCAAGTTTCACATATCCGGCGGCTTGTTTACCGACTAAGCTGCGGGCAGGGGGCGGGGCGATCGATCGGTGCCTTGAAGGGATAGACTTTTGAGGCGCAACTTCTTACTCAACTGGGAATTTTCTTCTCTGCTTGAGAAAAGCTGCGAATAAAGCGATTGGTTCAAATACAATGAGATTTTCTCCACACTTTCATGCTTTTCGTGCGTTCAGCGATTTATACACGTGATAAATGTA